TTTTCCTTTTCGTGTCTTTTTTTTCGTTGGGTTTTTGCTGATTTTTTTTTTCTTCTACATTTCTTCAAGAACTTCGTGTGTAATGCTCACTAGTTCTTCACATACACTTAAAACGGAATACAAGCATTCGTTTAAAATCCACGACCGCAGGCGCATTTCGGATGGCTGGTGCCCACGGTCTGTATCTAATCCAAGAACATAAGTTTTTTTGTGTGAAATCATTGGAAGTTATATACATATTTCTATGACATTTTGATCAAATATTTCTGAATTTGAGCAAAAATTGTTGACAGTGTTTTCAACAAGAAAAAAAAATCATTTTCTCTCAATAAAAATTTTCTCATTTCTCCAAGAGACTTTCATTATTCCAATTTTTCTCTGTTGTATTTTTCAACGTCTCCAAAGTGGGCGCCCTGAAGCAAATCAACCAACGTGTAAACGGTTTACGTACCCATTCACGCCTAAACCAAATAAAATAAAGCAGCTTGAAAAGGCACGAGTGCTTTTATATGCACGTGTGTTTAAGCCATAAACACATTCATGTTGTTCTCTCTCTTTTTTTTATTTCTTCATTTTAAGTTCACGTAATTGGAAAATATTTCATGTTTTTTTCTTTCGTTCATCGATTATATTTAAGATCATATTTTTTTTATTGAAAAAAAACGGCAGCATGAAAAGCATGCGTCGATAATCGAATTTATAAATTTACATTAAAACTTCAATTTCTGGTATGTTTATCATTTTGCTGCATATAGAAAATTTCATTAGCCAATAACAACAAAGCATCTGAAGTCGTGCTGTCGATTTAATAGCAATGATAATAAAGAGCGAGTTAGAGAGTCGATTATTATCCAAATACGTTCAATATGTCTTTAAAATTAAAAATCAATTTCAAGTTAATTCAATTTGAATCTAAAACGTACGTCCGAACTCAAGCAGTCGATCTAACAGATCGAAAAAGGCCAAAACATAGATACTACGCGTTCATTTGCATTCGCTTATGCTGGGAATTTAAAAAACAGAAGCAAAACTTCGTTTATGAAATGATTGCTTTTTTTTTCATGGAAATGGCATTTCACTCCTATTCAATCAACAGGGGATCTCTAACATTAAGTATGAATCTCTCTTCTATTTTCTACAATTTTTTGACGCATAAATTATTTTCAAGTGAGAATTACATGCAAAATTTGAAGTGGCATTGCAAATCTTGTCGTGAAAATTCATTCATTTTACAAACATAACGAAGAATCCGAATGTTGTCCAAGTTAAAAATGAATTCATAGTACGAATTCAAACGAAGAGAGCGAAACGACATAACCTGAATACACCAACCAAAATTTATTAGCTTCGAATCTTTTGTTTCGTTTAAGTGAGTTTGTTGCCAACACCAAAACTGTTACACTATAATATTTTAAATACTCACACCGGCTGACATCAGCCTTTTTCTTATTGTGTTGCTTTTGTATGAGATGCGAACGAAGAGAAGATGAACAATAACCGAAAAAAAAGAGCAACTCCAATTCAAATGGCTGAATTATTCGAAATGAAAAAAAGGTCGATTCGTTAATTCCCTTTTTCGATTTTGTGAGCTGAACAGTCTTTTAAGGTGGCTGATGAGAATTCACAGTCATTTATATACGACGAAAAATAAGTTATAAATCTTCGAAACTAATTCGAATTTGTCATTTGAGTATTTAAAACACGATATGTTTACTTGTTTATTGTTTTATGCTCATTCTTCACGAACGGATGCAGACAGACCGAAAAAATACTCTCGCACACTCTCGTTCATCCTTTGCTTGTGTGAATCTAAGTTTAAGCCAAAAGATGCGCACCACACGATACGTTTGATGTTTATTGTCAATGTGCGCGAGCGCGCTCATTCACTTCGTCTGTCTCATGTCCAATGTATGTACGTATGGTTGATTGTTGAACATTCATGTTTTAATGTCGTTCAAGTTGTCTGATAGATGAAAACATGTTGTCTGTACCATCCGATCAACGTATTCACGTACATAAAACACAGTGTGGCTCGTTTTAAATGCGTCCAATGTACGCTAGCCATTCGTTTGCGTTGATCATCGATACATTTCACAGAGTTCACTGTTTGATTTCCTTTTCGCATTAATATCTCTCTGTGTGCATCTCTTTCTCTTTCCTTCTCTCCCTTAAGACTGAGCTCTGAGAAAAGAGCCAATATTGTATAAACAAACTTGGGCTTGTTTCAAACTTTTTGTATTTAATTAATATAAATGATTTTGACTTAATGAAATTAATCTTTGGTGGGTTGATTGTTTGCCATATATGTTTGTTTCATTTTATTTCGGCATATCACGTAGAAAATGTAAAACTCAAAACTGGACCCGTTTATTTATTTTAAAAGTCCTTGATGACAATCTACATCGTCTAATGATGTCATTAAAAATGTATATACCATACCAAATTTTTTTTTTCACAAACCCGATCACATGCGACAGGTTATACCAAAATTTGGCTCTATTTTTTCTAGCTTATTGGAAGCAAAAAGTGATCGCAACAAGTCGAAATTAAAAAAAAAAGTTTGCTCGAGAGTCAATAAATTTGGTTCCAGTTAATTTACACGGTTTTTGTTTATATGATAAATGAATGTGTGAATGGAAAAGATTTCCCCTTCAAAGTCCAAAGCAGTTATTTGTTTGTAAAATGATGTACTTGTGCTAAATTCACCCTTTTTTGTTCCATTTCAAATTATTCAAATTAAAAGACTGCTCTGTTTTGCATAATTGCCTCTCGGGCTTGGCGCTTGTTAGACAGTCACTGATCTCATATATAATTGATTCGAATGCATAAATAGGCGTTGAATGTTTGACTAAATAATTGTGAGCAGTGTTGTTTTTGCTCATGATTTCACGCTCATCAAAAATGATTCGTCTGTGCGCGTTTGTTTGTCGCCAAGTAAGTTTGCTGCATTCAAAATTCGAAATCAAATATTTGTCTTCGGAAAACCACATATTGACAATTTAACGCCGAATATTAATGGTTTTTTGCGCTCTCTCACTCTCACTGGATTTTCAAAATTCAAACTTCTCGATTAATCATCAAGTGTCAACGAGCAAGCGAACGAGGGGTATTCTTCCATATGCATCAAGAAATTAATGAATAAACCAAAGAAATTCAATTAATGGTCTCGATAAAAATTGTACAGTTCAACATTGCTATCTCGTTCATTGCAACAAAATGCTTACGCAAAATATGATGGATAAATGCGAACCGATTGTTTTCAAATATATTGTGTCATAAATGAATGTAATCGATACCATTTTTTTCCTAACCTTCATTCAATTTTAAACTAAACAATGTTTTTTCTACGTTCTAATTCATATGTGGATTTTGCCAGCGGAATGCAACTTTGATTGAGTAAATAAAGTGACGGCGTTTTTTGCATTGTAAATTAATAGATCAATGGTATATTTGATCGGTTAGAGTTTATGTTTTTGGATAGTCGGGGGTAAGAAAAAAAAATCATGTCAATTGTTTGGTAACATGCAATGCGAAAACGTGCTGTACATATGTAGCAGCCCCTAAACGTAAACCAATGCACACTCACACCAATGTACAGAGACAATGTACAACAAAGCTCAGATAATAAATAAATGAAGGCTGACGTGCTATGCGGCCTATGGCACTGAATGAAAATCCATAAATACATATGAGAAATCGACAGCTGCCGGCACAATCCATTCAATTTCGAAAATGAACGAATGAAGAGAGAAATCGAATGAATTCAGAAACTATTTATCAAATGAAACAAATAAATAAATTTCTAGTGACACAACGCAAAAACCGATCACAAACACACACACACATGCGAACAAAAACGTTGTACATTTCAAGGCAAATTCTCGATTCCTGTCGACGAAAATCACATTTGAAAATTGCCAAATGAATATATTGGGCGCAATCAAACTGGATTTTGCGCGTAATGCTATTTTGAGCTCATGTCTCAAAGGAAAATATGAAAAATACCTGATTTTTTTCAAGTGACTCATTGACTTGAGTAAGTGTAAACAATATTGAAACTGAATGAGATTAAAGAATTAAAACACCAGATTAAAATGCGATCTTTTTCACCCCTTTCATCGATTTTCTTTTCGCTTTCGTACTTTCGCCCAAGAGTCATTAGTTTAATTGCGGATAAGTATCAGATTATCTTCATTAAACTGTTGTTTGGAATGATGCCGCATTTTCCTTTTTTTTAACCCATTCGTTTGCTATTTTCTTTGCCTTTCTTTCATTTTCTCATTAGAGTTTTTTTTCGCGCAGCAGACTATTTTTCAAAAATTATCCGAGAAATTAAGGTTTACCGTATTCTGTGCGATCATTTCCCGTTGCGACAAAAAATAATCGATGCTGAGATGTCCCCTAGAACTTTACTCATTGCATATTATCTCTTATGTTCACGCACTGTTGACACAAGACGCTACAAGTGCGCTTCAAAAGCAATGACCAAATCACACACAACTCAGTTGTTGTTAATTTTTTTTCCATACCTCTCACTTTTGGTATTGAGTTGGTCACTTTTCTCCCTGTCACCCGATTTCTTAAAAACCATGATAATGAAAACAAAATATGAAGAAAGGTTCAATAGTTCACGAAAAAGCATAAACACCGAACTAAAATACCATGCTGTGTGTGTTTATACGCTAGGAAAAAGAGCGTTAAGAAAGAAAAAAGAGAAAGAAAGAGAGTTGAGAATTTACTTTGATTTATTGCTCTTGCATTTCGTTCCAACTTAAACTACCAAACAATGAAATAAATGTCCCTAAACAGTGTTAATGATTTTTTACCTACTTACACTTTCAGTTTCTTCGCATCAAAATGCAAGTATATAAACAAACACTGAAACGTCTTCGGTTCAAATTCATGAAGAAAGAAAGTGAAACGAATTTCAATTTTTATTTTTTTTTATTCTCTATGACTTGAGCACTTACAAACTAAACAGTCTTTTTTGATTCTCTCCCTATATCTAAATATTTACAAAATATATTTTCTTCATTTATTTACACATTTTTTGCAATTTATAATTGAATATATGTTCTAATTACCCTAGCTTAATTCTATTTAAATTTTAGTAGTCGTATCTTACATATGGATGCATAGTTGACGGTGTTTGATATGATTGCATGTTTGGTGGTGGTGCTTGGAACTGGTTCATCGCGGTATAATTTCCAACATACGCTACAGGAGCTTGATGATATTGCGCATCACTATATTCCGATTGTGGGCTCATCGCAAGCATTGGGTCCTTTTTCGCCTTCATGCGTCGATTTTGGAACCAAATTTTAATTTGTCGCTCACTCAACTTGAGGATGTGTGAAATTTCGATGCGTCGTCGTCGTGTCAGGTAGCGATTTGTCCGAAATTCACTCTCCAATTCTAGGGTTTGTTGCCGTGTGTATGTTTGGCGTGATCGTTTCTCTTTGCATGCAACTGCTAGAAGAAGAAGGAGAAAAAAAAGCAAAATTATGATTAGTTATGAAAGTGTAAAATTGAAAAAGGGCAAGTCATATAATACAGGTAGTTGGAAGAAAAAAAGTGGAAACAAAATGTAATTCGACACTTACCATCACTTCCATTTTGTGAATCCGTTCGGGATGATGCATCACAATTATTTGACATTTGATTGACATCTTCAATGGCTGCTTCGTTCGGTGATTGTGGTGGTGTGCTAATGCCATCAAACGCAACGGAGTTTGTGATTGGCGTTGAATTTTCGCTTGTCATTCCTAATGGCATGTGACCATACTCATAGCCACTCTTCTTTGTCATTGGTTGTTGCTTTTCAAATGCAAATTCATCGAAAAAGTCCAAGTCATCGCGAAATTGATCCATTTTTGGTGATATCGTTTCAATCGGCGAAATGGTCCCATTGTCGGAGAATGAATTCTCTTGAGTTCGTTGTCGTTTCGCTGATGGTGATTGGCTATAGCTTGGTCTCTCTCTCTTCTTATTGCTAAGAAGATTACGCAACAGCGGTGAATCATCGTTTTCGGTGGTGTCGTTTTTGTTATTCACTTGTGGAAGCTGAGCATTCATGGCAGCGATAGGCACTTGCGGAATCATATTTGTTGTATTTTCCATCGGATTATACGCGTTTGGTGGTGGTTGGTACAATCCATGATTTGGCACATACGAATGGTTGACATTCATTTGTTGACGCGATCCATTGTATGACATTTGCTCAGCCGATGATTGTGCGTATGCGTAGTTACTCTGATGATACGGAACATATGAATTTGATGGTTGAGCTTGGTGTTGCTGGAGTTGTTGTTGTTGATATTGCATTGTATTTAAATTCGATGATTGCCAATTTGTATGGTCCTATAGACAAAACGTAGAAAAAAAATGAACATTAGTTTCGAGTCACACAAACATATTTCAGAACAAACTTTTTTACACATCAAAAGCACAAAATAATTGAATAGCATCCATTCAATTTTGAACAAAAAATTCTTTAAACATCGAAACTTACCATATTGTTTCCATACGATTGTGATGAATATTGTTGATTGTAGTATTGATTGTACATGCTTTCGTTTGTATTGAAATCGCCGTAGTACGTGGCTGTCATTTTGATTATGTTTGTTTTTATTTAAATTAAATTTTGCACAAAATACCGTAAATTTAATTTTTTAACAAAAAAATTCACTCGATGCACAAACCAAGGAAATGAATCTTGCACAAAACACGGAAAATGTATTTTTCTCTTAACAAAAAATTTCACTTCGGTGCACTACTGTTGACTTCCGAATTGTATCTGGCTGAAAATTGTGCTGGGACCTTCCTATATTTACGATTTTTTGAGCGGCTGCAACAATGCATCGAAGTGCGTATGTTGTTGTGAATGTATGCGTGTGCATGTATTTGTGTGTGTGCATTATGTCTAACATTGGGTCCGAAAGCAAATATTCCGTTTTTGGCACACGACCTCTGCAAAACTAACAATAGTCGCCTTTTTGTATACGTTTTATGTTGCCTGTATTTCCATTCACACCATCCCTTTCCTTTCGCCTCTGCAACACACATATTTCACTTCTTGACAATGATGCTGTTGTTTGGGGTGCACATTCTATGTACATACAGTGCAACACGAATAACGTTGCGTGAGTGAGAGAAAAATGCAGCGTACAAAGGCCAAAGAGGGCGAAAAAATATTATTTCAGTTGTTCTCTCATTTTCATTTCTTTTTCGTCAATAGTAGCATCGAATACAGTTCAAATTGGCCAATTTTGTACACACGCACACACGCATACATTGAAAATCAAATGAATATTTGTGTTTTGCATTCGAACTAACGATGGAAAAATGCGATCATATTTAAAAATAAGAAGACCTGAATGAAATGGCAGGTATAAACAAAGGACTAACTATAAAAACAATGTAAAAACTACTTTATTCCATTTTACACTTATCGCACTTCTTTTTGACTTTACCTTGTTCTGCCATAATTTATGATATGTTCATGTATTTCAACTCCTTTTCAGCTTTTTAATTTAGATATTGAACATGCAAGCTGCCATAAATCCATAAAAAATGAGTTTTTTTTGCTACTGCATACGTAAGAAATCCGCATTTTATTTCGGGGATATAAAGTTGAGTATTTGCAAAAGTTATTGCATTTGGTAAACCAAAGTTTCAGAGAAAACATTTTGAAGATTGGCCGATTCTGTTTACTTTTGTTGATCTGCTTTTATTGGTCACAATAAACATCTGTCCACAAAAATTGAATTCAAGAGCTGGAATGTTGGACTCCCTCGCATATCACACAGCTGAAAATGTCAACTGATTTTCTTTCATCAAATAAAGAGAAATCAAAATGCGTACATTTTCGAAACCTTTTTTCGCAAATGTTGTTGCTGCATCCATTGACTCTTTATCGAATTGAAACGGTGACACGTCGTCAGTGGGACAGAATTGGTGGAAATGTCAATGAAATATAGCTAATATTTCACCATTGACATCATCAACCGAAAAAAGAGCAAATGCACCATTTGGGGTGAGATTCATATAAGATGCACTCAATGCTTGCAAATGCGTGTATGTGGTGCAAATCTTCGAGATTCAACCAATATTTAGTAGTGAAATACCATGTAACCCTATGTTTCATTTGAAAATTCTCAATCAGAAATCCACATGCACACAATGAACTGAAAATTAACAAAACGGTTGGATTTGGCCGTGTACCATTCGACAATACAATCGCATGTTTTCTACGTTGCCCTTACCCTATATGTGCATTCGAAGAGTCATAAATTTATGCCATCGAGTGTCTGGATAAAAAGCCGGAGATGATCATATGAATACACACACATTCTCTCTTTCTCCCTCTTTGTCTTTCTCTCTTTCTCTATTTTCATTTCTAGTTGATTTCCTCTTAATTTTATTTATAGACTATAGTCCATATGTTCGACTTGATTTCAATTTGCGAAGTGCAAATGCAATGCGAATTGAATGTTGCGATTCGATTCAGGCGGTACTGTTGCACCGTATCGATCACCAATTCGATGCACATAGTGTGTAAAACAACGAAAAATCGACTCGTATCTGTTTAAATTGAGATATCATCACGCGAATAAAACACGAATAGAAGATTTTTCAGTCGAAATTAACCGTTGAAATTCGCAGAATTTAAGAGCAATCATTACAGTTCTCTCGATTTTTTTCCATTGCTTTCCATCAAATTTCAAAACTTTTAGAAATGGCGAAAAGATTGCCCATATATCGGCAATTGTTTCTTTGTTAAAAAGAAAAGAAAGAAAGGCGATTGTTTTCATACAGAATCAGTAGAAATAAATAGTCAAAAAGCAATATAATTGAGTTGACTACCTACTAAAGATATTAAGTCGATTGTTGAATTTAATGGTTTCAACAGAAATGCTAAAAGGTGACGAAAAAAAAACTCCGAAATGCATGGCTTTCGTTTGAACACGAAGTATCGTCTTTTGTCCAATTAAAAAATTATTGAGCGTAACGCATAGTTGTTTACGCAAATGAATCCAAATGATCGCAAAGATGAGCAACAGCAGCTTCTATTCATTTCGAGGCTAAATATTATTAGTTTTTAGCCGAACAGCAAGAACGTACAAGGTCAAACACGAACATAATTTGACCAATATTTTCTCTTCAGAATTGGACACACTTTTCTTGCGTTCTATCCATCCTTTTCTCTTTCTTCCTTATTCTCCGTTTCCACTTTACACGTTGTTGCACTGGCGTTGTTGGGCAGAGTGGCTAAAAGTGCTGTGATCCTTCTTTTAACTTGGTATCCAGTTGTGCATATTTATGTGCTTCGTTACGTTCTATTTGTGAAATGTTGCTTTCTTTTCCATGTGCCAGCAGAACGAAACAGTAACACTGCATGAAAACAAATCACAAGACATATTCATCCCGTTTTTTTTTTCTTCTCTTCAAGCAAACAGCGTCGGAAGGTTTTTCATTTAGTTTTCATACGCACTTATTATTGTGTCGATTTAATGTGTTTATTGCTCGTTCATTATTTCGTCGTATTTAGTACGCCTGCAACGATCGACACATCATCGTTATTTTCTCGCACTGTGGAAATCAGTGTTAAGGTCGTTGTAGTTAATTTCAATTTTTGTTTAAAAAAACATTCACACGTCTGCTGAAAATTTGATACGGAATATTACTAATTTGAAAATAGCTTCGTCCTCCAAAAAAGCGCTCATATTCTCGTACTCGTTCAATGCTGAAACTAATTTAATTGACATTCGAATATGTCCGTTTGACGGAAGCTCTGATGATTAGTTCCACGAAATGAGCTCATATTCTCTTCTGCCGATCGACAGTTCTTTTGCTCAAAAAACGTATCGGCCGTTCAAATAGAAATGTAAAGAAGATGCAATAGTTTACTCGATTCTAAAAAAATGAGTTGTTTTTTCTCTTTTTTTATTGATGCGCAGCATACCAATAAAAATCAAAACACTTCTCAGTGCATTTCTGCTATGCATTTCCTTCTGTTTTCTTTTCGTCAATTTTTCTTTTGCGAGCCGACAAAGTAAAAGAATCAGGCCCTTTTGAGAAATTCAACATTTTTTTTCATTTACAATTATTGGGGATCATTTCATTTTATGGTTTTATGACAGGAGAGATGTTTCGCATTTTCCATAAGCAAAATAGGCGAACAGTAGAAAACAGAAGAGATAGAGAGAGATGGAAAGAGAAAGCGAGAGAGCAAGCATGCATAGAATATTCACATTTTTTGAAGACGGGCGATAAAAGATAGCGAAAGGTAGAAAAAGTTTATTGCCAAATTGCTTTCGAAAGAAATGCTCTTTTTCCGTAGAATTTTTTTCCTTTGAAGATTTCGTTTGGTTCATATCTGACTTAGTATACTCATATCCAGTGTCTGTGATTTTTTGACGAAGAAAAAAACTTGCGATGACTAAAATTGCATAAATTCCAATAAAAAATCTATATAAAATCACAAAATCCCCAATATTTTTCACTTAAAAGCATACATTTAACTCACAATCCAAGTGAGTAGAATTTTCAATTCAATTTTCACTCAAAAAAATTTGTTCACTTGTCGAACTGAACGAAGTTGGGAAACATAAAAAAACGGACTTGACGAAAGAAAGCTTCCGAAAGGAACATTACAACAAAACAAATCTTTTCCTCTCTCTGTTGTGTTACGAACAGAGAGAACGTGGACGACGCAGTGAAATGACTGTGAGCAATAATTACGTACGAAAAGGAAACGAAAACTTGAAACTGCAAGACAATTTTCCGTGAAACTAGGCTGCAATTGACTTCTATCGACAGTACTGCTACAAAGATTCTCTCTTTTCTCTTCGCATTTTTCGTCGCATCAGTATTAGACTTAAGCTTAGTTATGCATACAATTCAGGTCATTAACTAATTTTGTAAACATTCGTAAATAAATGTTAAGCGATAGATCATAAAGCAATAAAGATACAAATGTCTGTGAACATCGGAAATGTGACGAAAAAACGATGAAGTCAACAAGAGATTTGTAGCAATGTGATAAGAAATGTATAGAGAGGAATGTATGTGAGAAAGTGAGTGTAATGTCATAAAAAATTAACAATTTCCACGATTTTTACTCTCTTTTGACTGCATTGAGTATTGTGCAAAATGCAGACGAAGGCCAGCAGTAGTACCAAGTAATTTTTTCCGTTTTATTGGTCGTCATTGAGATTTTTTCATTCTCACTTTTCCTGATGAACGAGAGAGAAAAGAGCAAGAGCCCCATTTATGACTACAGTAGAAATGTAGAACAAAACGGCTTCGGGAAATAATACAGACAAAAAAAAAATGTTCTCGACAGCAGCATATTCATGTTTATAGTGTAGTATATCGATGACAATACAATCAACTTACTGCAGATCCGAAACGGAAGGAAGTGAGAACTATACGATATGTCCTATAAAAAAAAATCATAAAATGGTTAAAGATATCGGTGCATTTGGCTCGAGTTAAATGTGTGAATTGGAAACAATAGATATTGATTCAGATGCATGCAAATTTGCATCAAAACGGTAGCAAATGACTATAACGTTGATACTCATTTATCAACATTTTTTTTTTATTTATCACAGTTTTTTTCCCTAAAAACTGTCGATTGCATACGAAAAATGTGTAACAAAATCAATCATATTTGTGGAAAAGACAGAAAAAGGCCATGGAATCAATCCATTTGCCCTACAATTATACTGAGTTCACAAAATATTCACAATTAAGACGAAAAAGTATGCACAAATGATCAAAAATTTGAGGAAAAAAGATTGTCGAAATCGATGTGGATTTCGACGTCGCCCAAATATTAATAACAATTCGATACTGCATGTCCTCCTTTTGTCCTGCTTTCGGTGTGATCATTAATTATACCGATGCGCGCATTCGTGTATATTTAAAACATTCGGAGGTCATTTTTCATTTCTGCCAACTCAAATAATACCAAACAGGGACACACAAGCGACGCTCATCTGCAGCACACGCTTTCATAAAAACGCCAATTGAGCTCGGAAATTCACAAGAAATACTGTATACGTATTGTTTTTGGAGAATCAATCGGAACATTCTGAATTGTCCCATTCATTGAGTCACGATGCACAAGTTTTTTTTCTCGTATTTTCGATAGTTTTTTTTTCTTGCATTCGTGCCACATGAATGAAACAATTCATAACAATCATTAAGAAATCATGTCATTCACTTCGCACCGCATTTCTTGCGAATTCTCTTCCGAGTTCATTTCACTTTCTCAATGCACCTCAGATGACAAATGTTTATTCGTCGTTGTGACAGCGCTGCGAGAATGACACCGTTTGATGCACTTAAGCCACATTTGGTTGTGTAATTAA